TATGTATTTAAAATATATCTTTATTGATTTCAGAGAGGGGAAGGGGGGGGGAGAGAGAGAGAGACATTGACGTGAGAGAGGCACACTGGTTGTCTCCCACACTGGCTCCAACAGAGCCAGGGAACAAACCTAAAACCCAGGTACATGCCCTTGACCGGAAATTGAACCCGCGACCCTTCAGTGGGCAGGCTAATGCTCTACCATTTAGCAACACCAGCCACAGCTCACTTTGACAACTTTAAAGGCACACACATATCTCCACACACAAGTTTATAAGAGAGTCTCTTATCCAGCCAGTACCACAGCCACACCAAATGCTTCATTAGCTGTTATCACCTGTCAAGCTTCTCCTCTCTGGACCAGCTAGCTTCTCAGTACAGCTGATGAGTAACTGCCCTTCAATTACCCTACCACTTATGAATAAACTGTATTTTCTACCACCTTCAAAGGATGCTTCACACCCTTAGAGTTACCAATCCGTCACCACATTTCATTCCAATTTACCAGTGATATGGCAGTTATCCAAAATGCAAGACAGCTGGTTAAACAGTGTCTCCCAAAAGGTCATGTCACTTAGTCTGGGAACATGAAATTTGGAAATAGGATCTTTGAAGATGTAAAGAGCTGGTGTGAGTCAGTGGTTAGAGCATCGACCTGCCCACTGAAGGGTCGGGGGTGCGATTCCAGGTCAAGGGCACTACTTGGGTTGCTGGTTCGCTCCCCACCCCCCGGTTGGGGCACGTTCGATAGGCAACCAGTCGATGTGGCTCCCTCACATCAATTTTTCTCTCTCTCCTCCCTTCTCCCTTCCTCCCTTCTACTCTCTCTGAAAAAGCAAAGGGAAAAATATCCTCAGGTGAGGATTAACAACAACAAAAATTAAATGAGGTGATACTATATTAGGGTGGGCCCTGACCCAATGACTAATGTCCTTATGAGAAGAGGGAAATTTGAACACAGACACAGAGTCAGAGACTGAAGTTATGCTGTTATAAGCCAAGGAACAGCAAGAACTGCCAGCAACCACCAGAAGCTAGAAGAAGCAAAAAAGCATCCTTCTCAAGAGCCTTAGGAGGGAGTTTGGCCCTGCTGACACCTTGATTTCAGACTTCTGGCCTCCAGAACTGTGAAGAATAAATTTCTGTTGTTATACGCTACCCAGTTTGTAATTTGTTACAGCAGCCATAGGAAATTAATACAACTAGTAAATGCAAATACAGCTACTTCTAATTGTTTGGTATTTGAGGCAAGCTCCTAGACACTTTACAATTTCTCATAGAAAGCATCTGTGTAAACTGTGAATGTCCATAACCCTAAGAAATAGGCAGAGCAAACTGCTTTCAACCAGATCAGCAAACTCCTTTGAGCTTAATGTAAACAGTGAATACTGGGATATTCCAATTCATTTGGGTATTTCTGATGACAACTGCTAAGGGAATTGAGAAAACAATGCAAAAACCTAAGGGGAATTAGGCCAGATCACTGCAGCAAAGAGCCTCAGGATCATTAACAACTATTAAGAGCACAGGACACGCAAAGCACACCTTGTTTTATTGCACTTCACTTTATTGCGCTACACAGATGCTGCATTTTTTACAAATTGAAGGCAAGGGCCTCCACCAGAAAAATGATTACAATCACTTTATTGCGGTGATCTGAAACCAAACTCGCAGTATCTCCAAGGTTTATGGCAGCAAAAGAGTGCCACCTACTGAAGGACCAGCAACAAAACTAAGGCACTTCTGTAAAAATTCCAATTTTTATTTAATTTTGTTGTTGTTAATCTTCACCTGAGGATATTTCTCCCACTGATTTTTAGAGAGAGTGGAAGGGAGGCAGGAAGGGGGGAAGGGGGAAGGGGAGGAGAGACAGACAGACATCAATATGAGAGAGACACACTGATTGGCTGCCTCCTACATGGGCACCGACCAGGGCGGGGGATTGAACCTGCAACCCAGGTATGTGCCTTTGACCGGGACTCGAACCTGTGACCCTTCAGTGCTTGGGTAGATGCTAACCACTGAGAAACACTGCCAGGGCTCCAATTTTTTATTTAAAACAAGTCCCCCCCTCCTATTAGGAGAATGGCAGAAGGGAAGAGAGGCTACAGCCAACATATCTCTGTGTAGAATTCGCCTAATTTTCCTCAAGGAGCAGTGGGCTATATTCTGCCCAATTCAGACTCTGGGAATTCAAATAACCAGGTAACTACTGGCCTCAGACCACACAGGCAAGCATACCTTTTGCTGCATGATTGACACAGGAGGGAGGTTCATCATCTGATGTAGAGCTGAGGTTCAGGCCAAGCTCTGCAACTCTTTTCTTCTGTTTTTTGATAGGGGCAGTGCACTCTGGATCATTTCTTCTCTTCATTGTTACTGCAACCATAAATCCAGACAAGACAATAAGCTGCTCATGTCACAGTCACTAGGATCAGAGCAGGGATTCTAAAATATAAATCATAAATGGGATGGGATTTGGCAACTCCAAGCAACTTCCAGTGCCAGCACTTGAACAGCCTCTTCCTCAAAGAGATCCAGTAAGGATGCTAGCCAAGCTCTGGTTTTCAAAAATAGCTGCTAGTTTCATTCAAAAATGTGGTACTCAGACTCAGAGGCCTCTGGGCCATTGGTGTCAGATACCAAAAAGTCATGGTTCAATTCCACACGCCACAGGGGGAAAAGCCTTGGGAACTTGTTATTTCATACTTCTGATGCAACACTGGCCATATGCATAACAACAATGTACACTGGACATTTATTATGAAACCTAATGAATACTAAGCAATATTTCCAAGGTGAAGAGATCATCCCAGAATGATTGTTCATTCCATAACTGTTATTATTTTACCTGGACAATTAAGATATGACATAATATGATACAAATACTGGTTTTTGGCGTTTAAAACATAAAAAAATTGGGCAAGTTTTTCACCAGAATAAGGAATGGAAGCACTGGTTGACTTAGGACTGAGGAAATAAGAGTGGGAAAGTTATTGGAACTGGATGTAGTCACAGCATAGGACTCAAGCACAAAAGCAGTAATTTTAAGAGCAGGAACCCTTGCCTAGCCGACATGCCTCAGCAGATGAGCATCAACCTATGATCCAGGAGATTGTGGTTCGATTCCCGCCAGGGCAAATGCCGGCGTTGTGGGCTTGATCCCCATTAGGGGGCGTGCAGGAGGCAGCCAATCAATGACTCTCATCATTGATGTTTCTCTCCCTCTTCCCTCCTCTCTGAAATCAATAAAGATATATTTTTAAAAAACAAAACAGGAACCCACAAAAAGAGAATCAAAACAGGCAGGCACCATGCCACCATCACCCATGCCCATAGGTAGGTACATGAGAGGTACCCATGAGAAAAAAAATGAGATGGAATGAAGAGATTAAGAAGACCCTGAAGTCTTAAGAAATGACCGAGTTAAAGAGCAAGCAGCAAGTGTAGTAGTGAGTACAGTGTGGTTTATACACAACTGACTAGCTGTAAGAGGGCTCAGAAAAGGCACTCAGAACACGAACAAGCAGCTGCAATCCTTGGGCAAAGGGAGGTGCAGGAGCAAAAGAACCGGTTTATAGTAGGGTCACAGAAGCAGAGCAGTAAATTCCAAAGATACCACTGACCCCTCCAACAACTTCACAAAACCCTGAATCACATGTCTCACTTCTGTCCAGCTCAAAGATGAGCCTGTCAAGCCAATGTATAATCCTCTTGAGACAGCCTCTAATCAGGCACAGGCAGGGGCTATCCTGGGGTTGTAGGAAGAACAGAAGACACTGAACAAACCGAAAGCAAGACCAAGCTGGGCCACATTTCACTTTAAGCCCATCTTAAATACCCCCTCCCCCAAAAAAAGGTCCATAACAAAAGCAAAAAGGCGCCTGTGGTTCTCAGTGACTCTGGGGGAGACTGGAAGCAAGGGAAACTTAATGTGGACAGTGTTGGAGCGGGTGCAGGAAACGGCGAGGAAATAGCTGTGTAAAAGACAGGAGATGCTGACGCTCCTCTCCAAACCACCTTAGATTGGAGCTTTCCAAATCATCTAACCCAACCCTCTCAATTTTCCACCGGAAAAAACTGAGGCCTGAGAGCGTGAAGCCACACAGCTATCTAGTCCCCAGCTCAAGTGACCTACACAGGTCCGAATGTGCTCTGACAGGGAACTTCTAAGAAGGCCTGGCTCTACCTGCTGCTTCCCCAGGGAAGGGCTTCATAATCCCCTCTCCAGCCTTCTCTCCCTGGGCATCGGCTTCGCACTGCCACCCCTATTCATAGAGGGAAGAGATGAGCCCCCGTCTCCCCGGACCAGTCTCTTCATTCGGAGATAACGTGAATGTGTGAGTGTGCGCGCAGAGACGAAGTCAGCGGCAGCTCGGGCTCCCGGGAGCTGCAGGAGCGAGGTGGGGGTGGGGGGAAGAGAGGAGGCACGAGAGCAGGGGCGAGGAGGCGGTGAGGGCGAGACCGCGCGCGGGTGGGGCCGCGGCGGCGGTGGAGGGAAGGATGCTGAGCCCGCGCGCCCGCCCGCTCGCTCCCCCGGGG